ACCGAACGCGCTGGAAAGAAAGCTGCGGACTGATGCCGAACAGTGCGTCGCTGCTTTGGGTGCGAGAGAGACAGTCTCGGAATGGGGCGGCCGATTAGGCAGCGGCCGCGGGGCGCTGCGCCCAGTGTAGGCCCAAGCCTCATGACGCCACCAGGCCCCGCCGCTTGGACAGGTCACGCGCTGCGATTGCTTTTCGTACACCCCTTCCCCTCCTGGTGAGACCAAGAGGCTCTCCGCAGGGCGCCAGGCCACGCTCTCGGCGCACGAAATCCGTCCCCAAGACTCGGCCAGAGTGTTTTTAAGGGGGAAAGGGGGGGGGGGCTACCGGGCGATGCCGGACAGGTGATCGGGCCGCTAACGGAATAGGCCCGGTTTGACCTGCAAGTCCCGGCAGTCCTGCACCTCGCTGTAGCGGGCGGGCCGGCGGGCCACTCGGGCCGCTCCAGCCAGCCGGGCCGCGGAGGCGAGGCGAGGCGAGGCGAGGCAGGATTTCGGGGGCGAGGAGAAGGGAGGGCAGGCGGGGTGCGAGGCTCGGGCGGGGCGCTTCAAATTTTTGATCAAAGCAAGACAACGGGTTCGTTGCCTGGGGGCGTGGCCGTGGCGGCCGCCTCGCCAAAGCCCCTCGCCGGCCAGCGTCCGCGCCGCGTCCGCCGCGTCCGCCGTGCAGCCGGGAGAAAGAGAGAAATCACTACGGCGTCCCGGCGGAGCCACGGCCGGCGGAGAAGCATTATTAACGAACCAGTGGCGGTGCGGGCCGGGCCCAGCCGGGCCAGCATTGGCCGGGCCGGGCGCGCAGAGCATTGGGTGGAATGTCGGTGTCCGCGGACCGCCCCGGACCGCCCCGGACCCACGGCACTCTAGCCGAGGGGTACCTCACTTCGAAAACAGGTGTACACTGACTGGTGACTATACTCAATTTCCACTTTGACTAGACTGAAAATATCACGAAATGCGTTGCAAAAATACTAAAATTGGGACAAATTTACGTGGTTTTGCCGACTTTTTCAGTGACTAGACTGAAACAAGGCAGTGACTGGAGTCAGGGGTGTACACTGACTAGACGAAGTGAGGTACCCCTCGACTCTAGCACTGGTGGTTTGGCTGGCCGCGCCGCGCCGCGCCGCACCGCGCCGCCATCGTGCGAGTCGCCGTCGAGTCCCCGTCCGCCGAGGCCGGGCCGCCGGGCCCCGTTTAGACGGGCCGGAGGGAGGGCCGAGGGAGGGCCGAGGGAGGGCCGGAGAGGGACGGGACGGGACGCGCTTCCGGCCGCCAAGATAGCGCGACCCACTGCGGTGGCGTTGGCGGGCCGCGGGAAAACCAGCCGACCAGCCGATCGGGTTGAAGCGGGTTGAGGCTGGTTCCCTTCAGTCAATCCAGTCAATCGCAATCCGAAGACGGGGTTGACACGTCACGCAGTGTGCCGGCGGTGGCCTCGGGAGCCCCTGTGAGGCGGGCAGTCCCGTTGCGCTGCGGTGCGTGCAGTGTTGCCTACCCCAGCCTTCGCGGGCGCTCTGGAAGCCCCTGGGAGGTAGGCTGTCCCGTTACACCGTGGTGCTGCGCAGTGTTGCCTACCCCGGACTTCGCAGGCGTTTCGGGAGTTCCGAATAACTGCGTTGCCTATCCCACAGGCGTTGCGAAACGCCGAGGAGAAGAAGAAGACGAAGAAGAAGAAGAAGCAGCCGTGACTTTCACCGACATCTCCAACAATGCCTGGCCCTGGTAGGTCGGGGGAGTCTGCAACACTTACGCAAGCGGCGTGCCGCGGTAGGGCCAGGGCTGCTGCAGGCCGTCTAGCCCGGCGGCTAGCCCCCCGGCCGTGCCCCTTCCCCTCCCCCTCCCTGCCCCTGCCCCGTGGGGCGTCGCGCGTCGCTTACTCTGCACGCCATTTCCCTTTCCAAAAGAAAGACATGTAAAAAATAAGGTGAGATGGACGACAGGCGATCGATTGAGAGCGATTTGGAGGGGCCGCCATTAGTGCTTGCTGCTTTCCTCATGACGTGCTGCGGCGCGGCCCTGGATCCGGCCACGCTCCGGCCACGCTCCGGCCACGCCCCAAGGACGCTCGGAAACAAAGCGAGACTCCGGTGATCCGCGATGCCCGGCGCTGCCCGCGCGGACGGCGTGGATAACGGCCGGCGAGGGGCGGAGCACGGCGGAGCGGCGAGCGCAAAACTCGGCGCAAAAAGTGAAAACTGCGCGGCCGGCGCCGCGGCTGGCGCGGCTGGCTCCGGGACGACGCACTCGAGGGCTTCGCCAGCTTCGCGATCGAGGAGGCGCAGCTCAGCATGTCTCTAAATAACAGAGCACGGCTTTATGGGCTCCGTTCCCTTCGGACCTTCGGACGTCGCGTCGCCGTCGTGCTCGTGCTCCCCGGGGCGGTTATGGGCGCCGCGCGAGCCTTGCGGTGCTTGGCGCTTCCAGTGTTCCAGGACTTCCAGGACTTCCAGGACGCCGCGGGGCGTGCGGAGAGAAGGCCCGCGCCATTTATCGGCACGAGGAAGGAACAGACCAAATACAGGCGGACAATGGACTGGCGTTAAGTCTTTTCTACTTCGGAAAGCGCCGCGGTTTACGGCGTCTTGCACTCACACACTCGCACTGCCCCTCGCACACACGCGTGGGAGAGGCTTGGAAATGTAGGGCGCGCGTCAGTCAGCATCGAACTGAGAGGGACTGGAATTTGAAGTTCGGGACGGCGGCGGCCTGGCCTGCCTGGCCTCGTCGTGGACGTGCGCTGCATGGCGGCGGCGCCGCGCGGCGTCATCGACGCGTACCCCGTTATTGGGCGAGCGTGGCGTGGCGTGGCGTGGCGGGCGTTGCTGGGCGTTGCCTGGCTGGCGTGGCGCGCTGCCCAGGGCGATGTATGCGCAAGGCGGCAAGGCGATCCAATACAAGGCCGGCCAGGCACGGCCGCGCTCCACCACGGCTCCACGCTCCGCATCGCCTTGACACCGACCCGACCCGCCCTGCCCGCGCCACGGCGCGCCGCCCTGCTGGACCTGGCGGCCAGGCAGCCAGGCAGCGCTGGCAGGTCCAACCTGCATAGTCACTGCCGAGCGGAGCCGAGCCGAGCCCGGCCCCGGCCGCTGAAAGGGGCGCCATGCCGGCCGTGCCGGCCGTGCCTCTGACTCGGCCCTCGCGAGGCCCTGCTCCACAAAGCGCCCTCGTCGGTCTCTCCGCCGCGCCTTCTTTATTGTCTCAATTTCGATAAGTACCCCCGTATGCCTGTATCGACCTGTATCGACCTTTATCGCCACGGCGGCCGAACGGAATCGCTAACGAACGAACGCGGCGGCGCGGGCGCGCGGGGACTTGGAGACTGCGGCGCTGGAGCACTCCATGGAGAGGGCGAGTAGGCCTAACGGCGCCCGCGGATCGCGGAGGCTTCGGGGGCCGCCCTCGCCACCGCCCGCCTTGGACTACTTCGGTAATGGTTCCTCAGTGCCAGCCGTGACAAGTGACGAGCGCGTTGTGAAGCCGCCCGAAAAGTGTCCAGCCGGCCCGAGCCAGCCGGTGTCAAACCGAGAAAAATAATCATAGCGACTGTCATCTCGAGCGTGGAGCGCAGTGAAAACGAATCCGTCGGTCGGCGGCCTTGCTCGCCCTGCGCCTTACGCGTCGTGCAGCGAGATGGCCGCTGGATAACGAGTCCCGGGGCCGTGCCGTGCCGTGCCGTGCCGTGCCGTGCCGTGCCGTGCGCTCGACCGCACGCCGCTTGATCCGGAGCGGGCTGTCAACTGTCGGCCGGCCCAATATTTGGAGGCCTCGCCGCTCCGCCCGCCGGCGTGCATTGCTTTCTCTTCTGATCGCCCCGCCTCACTGCGGCCCGGCGGCCCGCTCGCCGCGACTTTTGAACTTTTGGCGCACGCGGCGACAGTGTCGGACCCAGCAGACTCATTCGTCACTCTGTCTCTCTCGCACTCGTGGGGCGCCGTGGAGGTCGAGGGAGACAGCGCGAGTACCGACGCCGAATCACGCGACCAGGATTACTTTTTACCTTCCAGCAGGGACCGGCCGACTGACCGACCGACCGACCGGCTCGAAGGGAGAAAGAAAGCATTTATCAGACGAGCCTCATACCGTGCTGTCCAGTGCAGCGGTGCTGCCCGTCGGCTCCAGTCAGTGCCGCTGCACACTGATTCCGAGAGTCGTTTACGTCGCTCTGCCTGCCTCGCACTCATGCGGCGCCCCGTGAAGGTGCCAGAGAGACACAGCGACGAAAACGACCGCTGGGAGAATGGACTCGACGAAATCGGAGACGCAGCGGGTGGCGCTGACTGGCTGGACAGGACAGGCTGGACCAGCCGACCGATTACCGATCACCGAAAAGAAAAGAAAAACGCTGTTCGACTTGCGGAGTTCGAGAGAGATAGAGCGAGGAAGCTGCGTTCGCAGTCCTGGCTTTCGGCCGCCCTCCGCTCGCCTCCAGGCGGTGCGCGGCGCACACACTGCCTCACGATCCTGACGGCATGGAGAATAGACGGCTTCATCTCCTCGCCGAGGTGGATTGTCATTGGAGTGAGCGAGTGCCGTCGGCGACCGCTTGGCGCGTTGGCGCGCCGCCTAGGCCTGTTGCCGTCCTTCCCATGAAACCAGAGCGAGCGGGGCCGGGCCCGGGCCAATGGGGATGGCCGTCTCGGCTTACGGTGCAGTGGCGGGGTGGCGGTGCAACGCACAGCCACGCACAGCGCGCAGTGGCCTTCGTAGTTGATCTTCATATAAAGTGTCAGGAAGTACCGCGCTGGAAAGCCAGAGCCCTGTCCTCCGCGCGTGATTGGCCGGAGCACGGCAGTGGAGTGGCAGGGGCGCGGCTCGCGGTCGCGGCCCGTGGGCACGGCGGCGACGAAGACAAAGACAAACAAACTGGGCCAATCCGCTGTGCGGTGCGGCGCGGTGCGCCCCCTCGCGGAGAGACAAGTGGACTCGATGGCGCCGTTAGTTTCAAGGCGCCCAGAGGCCTGGACTCCTGGAGTCCGGAGTGGGATTGGGCTGACACTCACCTGCGGCTCGACCATCAGTGTATCCGGGGCCACCGCGCGATGGCGATCCACCTGCAACACACCAAAGAGTTCGGATCACAAAGGGGAGCGAGAGGAGAAGGACGCTCGGACTTGAGGAGACTTTAACGCCCGGCGAGCACTGCGGGCCGGAGAGGGGCAGCAAAGCAGCCTCGCCAAAAACTTTGAAAAACAGTGGAAGTTTGAACTTGGCAGTCAAGGGGAACAGCCTTGTGGGCAGACAGGCAGGCCGACAGGCAGGCCGACCGCAGACGGGCGTGTGTCCGGGCGGCCTACCCGGCAGCGACCGGCGAGTGCTATAGGTGAGGCCGGCTGCACGACTCGGCGCTGGGCGGCGCGAAGGTGTCTCGTCATCGTCGCGTAGACGCCACGGCGGCCACGGCGGCGACAGCCCGTCCAAATGTCACGTTACTGGAGCGAGGCTGCGGGCGCCGCGTCTACCGGCAGTGCGGCGCGCTGTGGCGGGTACGGGTGCGCAAGGACGCCCTCACGATGAATATTGAGTGCATGGAGCCAGGCAGGCGACAGCAGCTCTCTCTCTCTCTCTTTCCCTCGCACCCGTCGGGACGCCCCGCGAGTGCGAGAGAGAGATCTGCAACCGCAAAGCAGCGAGGCAGCGCCCCCTGGCGACGCGGCGACGCGGCAAGGTCCGATCTTGGCGCGCCCTTCAAAGCCGATTGCTTGCGACCCTCGCGCCGCGCGGCGAGGGCCTCGTCGCCAAGGGCCTGCACACTGTGCTCGGCGGCTCGGCGCGGCTCGGCGCCCGGCGTGTCGCAGGTCGGCGATACCGTGAGCCACTATCGCGGAGGGACTATCGCGGGCCTCTCGCTCCGTGGGCTTTGGGCCCCCGCTGCGCGCCGCTGCGCACCACCGCGCCAAACCGCGGCCCGCTGCTTCCCCGCTTTAACGCCGCAAACCGAACAAAGCTGGACAGAAACAGTGGATGAAACGAGGCGTGTTTGCAGTGTGGCGTACTGTCAAGAATTCGTGCTGGCCGGCGCGGCGTGACCCATGCACACCGACACAGACGCGTGTACACTACACATGAGTACGAGTCAACATGCCGGCCGGCCGGCCGGGCGACGCGAGGCGACGCCAGGCGACGCGAGCAGTAGAGTAGTAAAAGGAATGCCGCTATTCCGACGACGGCGTCGCGATGACATAACGCTCTGGCTGCCTGCCTGGCTGCCTGCCTGGCTTCGATGTCCATTCGGACCATTCGGACGGCGAAAGACGAAAAGCGACTTCTTTTTCTGTCGCCCAGTTTATTGGGGCGCACCTGGACTCACGCGGCGGTTTCCGCATGGCACTGTTAGGAATGACGGTGGTTGGGTCCGAAATGACTGTTAGTGCGGTGTAGTGGTTGCGGTGTCTGATGCTCGACTCGACAGATGGATGGATAGATAGCGCGGGTGGACCGCGAAGTTAGACACAATATGAAGATGGAGACACAATAGATGGGGAGATAGCGCAGTGTGTATTTTGGTGCAGCATCCTTTGATAAGGGGCTGCCCTGGTCTTGTGCACGTGCGTGCTCTTGTGTGTGTGTTGCGTATGTCTGCCCGTGTGTGTGTTCTTTCCGCGCGAAGACGAGTAAACGATCAAAGAAAACATGGCCGGAGATTAAATACCCAGGTGAGCGTTTGCCCGTCATCCCCTCTCCTCGCGCCAAACAGGTGTCGAGCTTTTCGTGAAACGCGCTGCTGGTGCCACCGCCGAGGGGGTAACCACTCGCGTAATACCCTGTACACAAAAACCGTGTATTACGCGTAATACACGTGATCGTAGTACCATTTTTGGGTCAAATGTGCCAAATTTTGGCATTTTAGGGCCGTAATACACGTGTAATACACCCGTAATACAGCGTAATACCGAGTAGTCTGTACACGATTTCGTGAAGTGTTTACCCCCTCGGCCACCGCCTTCTCGGAATGCGTTCCGCGGCGTCCCGCCACAACGACAGACGCAGAGCGACGCAGAGCCGAGATCGACTTGTGGGACCGCGGAGCGCAGTCTATCCGGTCATCAGATCGGAATATCGGATCAGGGAGAGATTGGAAAAACAACAAGAGCAGCGTCGGTCGTTGCGATCAGCAAACAACGACGCGCTCGTCGTGCTCGTCATCATCGACCACAAGTGCCACAAGCAAGCCGAAGCAAGCCGAAGCAAGCGGTGCGGCCGGGACTCCCGGAAAGGCGGCGTCCTCGGCTATTAATACTCGACACCGCTTGGCGGCCAAGGCGCAGCGCTGCGTCGTCGCACAGCCAAGGCTCGACCCAGCACACGGATCCGCTCAAATCCATTTTCGGCGTTTGCCCTGGCCGGCCGTGGTGGAGCGCGGGGCGGGCCGCGGGCCGTCGATACAGACGGCCGGCCAACACACTGCCAAGGTCGCATGTTCCTTATCAAGATGGAGATGCCCAGCGCACACTTGACAACGCCGCAGTCGCGCAGCTGCCTCGCTATCACGAGACTACCTTTGGCTACCTTCTGACCACCGCCTATCAGCCGACCGCTTTGTATCGCATTAGGCACTCGTACCCTTTGAACCCCTCGGCCGACCCTCTCCACCGACCCCAACCTACCCCAACCGACCCCGACCTACCCTGACCTAACCCCAACCTACCCTAACCTTACCCCAACCTACCCCAACCGACCCCGACCTATTCCAACCTAGCCCCAACCTAGCCCCAACCTAAGCCAACCTACCATACCCTACGCCATCCTACCCACATCAACCTACCCTAACCTACCCTAACATACCCCAACTACCCCAACCTACCCCTAACCTACGCCAACCTAACCTAACTCCGACCAACTGCCCCCGGCGGTAATTACTGCGTCGGCCTCTCCGGAAGTAGACAGGTGCAGCACAGTAAAGCACTTAACTGCCTCACTCACACTGAAAAAAAAGTCTAGTAACGATAACCAGAATTCTGGTACCAAATACCAGACTGTCTGATAGAATATAACTCAACTAGAATTCTGGTAAAAAATACTAAACTGTCTACTTAGCCTCAGTCTGGTAAACCGTACCAGATTTATAGTCACCCTTACAATGCCGCCGGGTCCCCTTCTGGTAGTTTTTACCAAACATCCTGGTTAGTTCATGTGCTTGCAAAACTGAAGAAAGAAATCCAAAATTTAAAAAAAAATATTTTGTAGCATTGAAACCTGATGTGATGACGACTTCCTTCACGAATCACCTCTAAATCAATTTTCCCCTCCTTCTCTCCTCCGGATTCGAACCGGGATCTCACACTTGTGAGCTGAGCACGTTACCACTGTGCCACCACGTCGCCTGTGGGTCGAGGGGATCCGCACCTGGTGACTCTCTTCGTGTCTGACTCAGGGAAATACTCCCAGTGTTTCTTCCGGATTTAAGACTCCGAAAATAACGAAACCGGTTGCAGTTAACTTTTTGACACGCTAACATTTCAATTGAACCAAATGTTTCGAAGTTTTACGTATGGCGCCAATTACTGAACAGTCTAGTAAAATTTACTAGGATTATTAACCAGACACCTGGTAAATGTCACAACACCCGATCTGGTTACTTCAACTGATCATCTGGTAAGAGTTACTAGGATTCTCGTATGCGTAACTAATACTCGTTTAACTAGGATTGGTCTGGTACTTATAACCAGACCTTTTTTTCAGTGCACGGCCGGCTTTTCCGGTGTGGTGGCAAGGCGACTGCGAGCCCAGTGCGAGCCGAGCACCGAAAAAAGGTTGACGTCTTTTGCGAACGAACTGCTTCGCAATGAGGAGTGTTCTGGCCAGAAGAAGGGAAGGCGTGGATGTCGCAAGCAGCACTACAGTGCAGGCCCCACCGGTGCGCCCGCACTCGAGGAGCGGCCCTAGAGTGGCGGGGTGCGCGCGCACCTAAAGAGCCTCCAGCCCCGGGCCCTTGACGTCCGAAAGCAGGTGGGGCTCTGTTTAGCAGCGGCCATCTTGAATTTCCCTTCCGCCCCTTGTGATTCCTATGGAAAGATTCAAATCCTTGGGCGGAGCGCGCGGTCCAAGACGTACATTTATTTTTTTCGGCGGCGGCTTGCACGCTGCCATAGGCCATAGGCGCGGCGCTGGGACTCTTTCGGTGGATTGCCGACTCGCGGCCGCGCGGACGGACAGACAGACGGACGGTCGGACGGCTGGGATCAGCAAAAAGTTTTTACGGTTCTGGCAAACGAAAGTAGAAGCAGCAATCAAGGTGGACTTGTCGGCCGAAGCCACGAAGCCGAACCGGTCGCCAGCGCGCTGCCGCGCTGCGCATCGCCCCCGTCCCGTCGTCGTCGCCCTGGGCCTGGGCTGGCCTGGGCCTCGGCCTGGGCAGCATCGGCACGCCGCCGTCAGGCCGGCAGCACTGCCAAACACGCGGGGACAGTTTATTTTGTCAAGCACATTGCGTTATCGTGCGGTGGGGCAATGCACGTATGTGTGTGTGCGCGCGCGTGTGTGCTCCAATGTGTGTGTGCCGCACGTGCGCGCACCTGCAGCCAATCCTGCAGCAGATTAGGCGCGCCGGTCGCTGACACTCCGAGACACTCACACACGGGGACCGGCCGCTGCCGTCGTCGCAGCATCCGAGAGCCATTGAACCGCAGCCGCCCCCAGGCTTCAGCCCCAGGCTTCAGCCCCAGGCTTCAGGTGTCAAGTCTGTCGCGACGCCAGCTCCCCGACCCGCGGCCTGGCCGGCCCGGCCCGTGACAGATAAAGGAGTGAGCACGGTGACGGCGGTGGGGCTCGAGTGTCTCTCTTTCTGCGAGTCACTCCCCGGCGGTGCAGCACCACGCCGACGTCACTCTTCCTTTCCGCGGCCGAGCGGTCCTGGGCGTGCGGGTGCACTGTGGGCTACTCGGTCAGGCGATGGGCGGCTGCGCGGCTGCACGCGGCCCTCGACGGGACGGTGGTACCTCGCGCGGGGATGGGACAGGGAATAGTGGGGACGTTAAGGGACAAAAAACAGGCCAACCTTGCACTTTGTGATGAAAACGAAATAATAGTCCTCCTATATGTTTTCGGGGGTGCT